GCACCCTGAAATAAAGAGGAACTCAATGGAAGAGCTCGGGCTTTCCTGATGGCCTCAGAAGTATAATGTCCTTCAATGTTTTGCCTTAGAAGTTTTGAAGTGGAGTTTTATATCCAGGGAAAGCTGCTTTCTATGGTGCATGTAGGGCACACAGAGACAAGATTTCCTCCTGCAGGACCGCTTTCCTGGACCTTTGGTGAGGAGTTCACCCGAACACCTCTTACTGCCCATCTGTAAGTAAAAAGGGCAGGTCTCACAACAGCTTGTACATGGTAGCGTTCTACTTCTACCTCACTGGAAATAGACAAAACTTCAGTCCAGGATTCAGTGGGCTGAAACGGTAGCCAGCCCCCAGGGGACCTGCTTTACAATTTTGTCACATAGTGGTCACAGTCAGCCTGGACAATAAATACTGCTGCTGCCAGAGTCATTTGTAGCGGACAAGGAGAAGCACCAGATAGCCCTTCAAAGAAGGTCTTGTTGGCCTGACTGCTGGAAGGCTGCTATAAATAGCACTTGGCTGTCAGGTGCAGAGAGGCACCTGGCACAACGCCATGCCTTTGCCAGGCTGACCCACATCCAGTGATCCAGCTGCCAGGGGCCATTTGGGCCCAAGAGCGAACAATGCTAATGGGCTACTTCAGCTTCAGAGCTCTCTAGAGGATCAGACAAGGTGGAGGACCAGTTCTAAATCTTTGCCCTTCCCTTCCATAGACGCTGATCCCACGGACATTCCATCACTTAGAAATGTCCCTAGTAAGCACCCAGCACACTAAACTCCAATTAAGTGCCTGCTTCCCAAAAATTCCATCTGCAACATTGTGTTATAGATAAAATGTCAAAGCAGGAGACGGAACCTATTGCCTGAGATGTCTTTCGGAGGCTGGGACTGCCAATGTAGCTGACTCTGACTTCCAATCATCCAGAGAGGACTGGAATTTAGAAGTGGGCTCCAGCACACTTGGAGGAGGAAAAATGGAGAACAATGGAATCTTGTGGTGCTATGCAAGTGCCATGGCTCCTGAAAGCACACAAAGTCCACAGCCAACCCCCCACCCCCACCAAGTGGATGCTTGATGTCAGTGTGACCATAGAGGCGACTCACAGACAGTCGCAATAGCACCTACGGAGGGGACCTCTACCTCTTTCGTTCTGACTCAGACTCAGAGTCTTTTTGCTAAGATTATAGTAAAAAAAGAAAGAATCTAGGCATTTTAGCCAATGAATAACCACTGGAAGAATATCTTACAAATGCAGTCTGCTTATTTTGACCTTGACTGTTTTTTGTGCAGATGTCATGTTAAAATTACTTCTCTGAACAGGTACAGGAAAACTAACCAACGTTTCCTTTTTGCAATTGTTTGTAATCATCACCTCCTGGTGGTCTTTTGAAATGCATTTAAAGGCACTGTGTTTTTTTAAATTGCAATTGAATGATGTTTTGGAGGAAAAGTGTGATTACAAAGAGTAGACTTGCTTAACAGTGTGCTAATAAAACATTATAAGGAGGAGCCAAGTGAGTGTTTGGTTTGCACTCATTTATCGTCATGGAATAAAAAATATGTAATGTAAAATACTTATAAGTATTTCTAATTTAAGATTAGCTAGAATCATAAGGATAGTTCCAAAGCAGGCAGATGTACAGGGGATGAAAGTGCATCAAAGGAAAATGGAAGAAGTAACTAAATAATTGGGAAGAAAGAGCCTAAAGTACCCCACATATTTTGAAGCCAAAAGTATCTGAAAGTCTTTTCTCAGCAAAAGTTTTAACCTTTCACACTTGGAAATATTTCTTAAGAATGTATCTCCAAATTTATAAACAGAGTCCAAAAGAAAAATAAATACAATAGCTGTATATGGATATTCCCTAAATAAAAAACAACAGTGAAATCCACTTAGCAGAGCTGAACTGGGGAACAGAATAATTTTGAAATTTCTTTCTTGATTCTCCTTAAGATTCAGAGGAGCTTTTGTTTGTTTATTCTTTTGTCTTGTTTTGTTTGCCTAAGTCATTCTTTAAAATTTATATACCCATCTTTGAACTTAAGGATATTGGTGTTTTGTGTTTCTTCTGGGGAAAAAAAGAGTAGAAAAAGGAAACCAGAGCAGAACTAGATCTCCAAACCAGCCGAAGGTCTTAAAACTGTAACAAAACTTAATCCAGAGATCAGGAACTGCCAGGCCCACTGGTTGTTTCAGTTTCTTTTCTCGTTACTAAGACAAAATATCTGACACCCAAAGTTAAAGGGCTAAACTCACAGTTTGTGGAGGTTTCAGTCCGTAATCAGTTGGCTCCAAGGCAGGGTGGCCTGGCAGAGAGTCAACACTTCAACATAGGAGAAAACAGCAAACGCAACGAAGAGTAGAAGAGTCTCCTTCTGTTCCTTAAACTGTATCCAGTCTACCAGAATTAGGATGATGCCAATCCAATCAGTGGGCTGATTTAGCAATCACTCACCCTAATCCCAGCACTCTTAATCCCTACATTGCACCACACACTCTAGATTCAACCACCTCTGAGAAAAGCCTCTGACTGCACGAGGCTTTGGGGGACATCTGGGCACAAACCGTAACCCAGGTCCAGGAGCCACCTGGTCAGGACAAGGCCAGATCTGTGCTTGGTCAGGGAGACAGATTGGGTTGTAAATGTGCCACCATCAATGGAGAAGAAAAATGAGTTTTCACAAAACACACAACATCTCATTAAGATAATTCAGCTTGTCAACTTGACTAGCTACTAACCTTTCACTACAGCTGGGTATCTGGGAAAGGAAACAGCTTCAGCTTAATAGAAGAATCAATCAGTTCTAAAATCTGCCCTCTGTGTCAGCTCTGGAGCACCTGCCTACCCACAAAGTACCCCTTCATGCCCTGCCTTGCTCTCACCTGGAATCACTGAACACACAGGCAACTGCAATTCCAGACACAGCCAGCATAACGTGCAGGAGTGTGAGAGCTCATAGGGCAGCATCTGCTTCTCTGAAGCAGAACTTGGCTGATTTTTAGATGCAGCTACAGATACATTCCTTTGAGTTCCCCCCACCCTACCCCCACTCTCACCTCCACCTTGATTGAGCTTGAAGAAATAAAGGAGCCCAGTTAAGCCAATTGCTCTGGTCTCTGGTCTTAATCAAATCCCATGCCACGCTTGTGTGACCCGACTCATTCAGCACAGGCTGCCACACCTCGAGTGCAGCTGGCAGCCCACACCACGCGGCAGCTGCTTCAAGTTCAGGAGGGGACACACAGGGCAGGGTACTGTCACCTCTTGACTCCCTCAATTAGCACAGTGTCTTGGAAAAGAAGACTGTGAAATCCTTCTGCTGGTGACATAGAGTTACAAATACAATTAACAGGCTTAACTGCAGCAGCTTTGCAGATTAAACAGAATGCTCTGCAGACAAATGCAGTGGAAGAGAGTTGCTCTTTTAATGTTCCAGGGCTGCTCCCACCTCATTCTCACCTCCTGTACTCTTACTCCAAGCCCCCAACGCAGGAATGCAGGAATGAGAAACCTTTAAGAGACTGGTGCCCAGACTGCAACCAGAAACTCACTTCCTATTGCAAAGTGCCCACATTGCAATTAAACAAACCTGAGTGCTGAGGTTTTAGTTTAGAAAAAAAAGAAAACCTCATGTACTAACACCTTTTCTCTAAAAAGAAAAGCAGACAACACTTGTGCCAGGAGTTCCCCATTGTTTTCCTAGGGACAGTGGAGCCCAGCCAGTTGTTCCTTGTTTAACTCTATCTCTGATTCAGCAGACCCCATGGAGCATAAAAATCACATATTACAGCCCTAATATCTTCCGTCTATGGGCTGTGTGACTCAGATGTAAGAAGGAGTGAGATGACAACCCTGCAGGGGAAATCAGCAATGAATACACGCTCCGAGGCTGGGGGTGGGGGTGAATGGTCTGTAACTGGAGCTACAAAGTGGGCATACACCCGGCCGCATTAAAGTCATTTTTAGAAAGCAGACATCGTCTTGCGGGACCGAATTTCTGTGTCATATCATGTTGGACTGTGGAATTTAAAAAAGCCTTGGCAATACAAGAGTTTCAATCAGCCCTGTCTTTAGGTAGGATCAGCGGGAGATCCTTGTGGGAGAAAAGCCACTTTATCAAGTGACACAGAATAGTGGGTTAGTGAGAGGGCCATTACAAAATTAACCAACAGTATCTGTCATTCTTACGATTGCTCCTCAAACGGTTTCTCCATAAGGAACAGATGGCATAAAAGAGAGGTATGTGGATAGACTGAAGGAAGTTGCAGGAAGGAGGTGCAGAGGGAAGCAGGGTGAGCTGTGCCTAAGAACAATAACGCAGATCGAGGCGTAGGCTGCTGTCCATGTCAGGTTTGTTCGGACCAATTTTGCAGGCCACCGCGATTACACTTGATAAAGACCACATCCTTTGTCTCCAATGCCCCTAAACAGAGCCACCAAAGTGGGCGTGATGGAGCAGCGGGACCACCCCACAGCCTGGATCACACTGCCAGGCGGCAGCGCCCAGGGTGGGGGTGGAGATGGGGTGGGGGAGGGGGTGGGGTACCCCTCTGACCCAGCTCGCCTACTGCGCCCCCTCGCGGCCGTGCGCTCCAGCGCCGCCCGCGCCTTGGCTGCCTCTCGGGGTTTCCACCCAGTGGGACCCAGTGACCAGACCCTCTTTACTCCGCTCTCCCCCCAGTACCTACAGAGTGTGTTCCCACAGCCGCTAGATAAACACTGACCCCTGAGTTCCAGCTCTTTGCTGCTTTCAGTGTTTCACCAGGAAGAACTTATTCAGGGACACCGGGGGAAATGTAGGGGCTTGGGGGAGTTAAACCCCAAAAGTTGCCCCAGCACCCAGCACCCGAATCTCCAGTTTGGCGTTGCATTAGAGGATTCGTCGGGCGATGACAGGAGGAGGGGCCCGGCGGACGGCTGGGGTGCGCTCCGACCTCCCGCCCTGCCCCCCCCCCCCGGCTGCGCCGCCCTCGCTCTCCAGAGCGCGGCGCTGCGCGCGCTTTCATCCCGGAGTCGCCGCTTCGTGCGCCTCCGGCGCGGCTCAGCCAGTCGGCTGGAATTGAGTAGCATACATTGAATCTGCGGATTTCATGACGTCTCCCTGCGTGGTCCACCACTTTTTTCCAAACCAAGGATTTTTTTTTTTCCTTGCCACTCGCCTTTCCCCCTTCCCTGCCACCGCGTCTCCCCTCCCGTCCCTGCCCGAACGTGCGCCCCTCCGCGCCCCCTGTGGCCCGGGCGCCCAGACCTCCTCTCCGGGCTCGGCGAAGGGAGCCAGTCCCGAGCCGGCCGCACCTGGCTGGAGAGGCTGAGTGGGCTCAGGGCTGGCATTCGCGGGGACCTGCGAGCTGGGGCCGGAGCTGCATGGACCAAGAGGAGAATGGAGTCTCCTAACAGCCTCCCGGGGCCGCTGTGAAATGTGACCATCTGCTTCCAGCTTTTCTTTTCCTTCTCTCTTTTATTTTTATTTTTATTTTCCATCTCCTTCCTTCGCCATCCATCGGGCCGTGCATTATTAAATCTTGCTCCGTTCCAAGAGGAGAGACCATGATTGAGTGAGACCCCCCTAGTCCGAAGCCAGGTAAGAGGTGCGCGCGGAGTTGCTGAGGGCGAGGCGCTGGCATCCGTCTGGGCGAGTCATACGGTGCCCTCGGGTCCCAGGTCCCCTCCCCAGCCCCGCGATCCCTGCGGGCTCCTCCGCTCCCATGGGGAGCACGATGCCCACGTCCACCCAAAGGCGAGGGAGACGCCGGTTACATAACAGGAGGGAAATCTCTTTCGTTCGATTTTCATTAGCAACTGAAAACTCGCGCGGGGTGGGGGCGCGGGGTGGGAGGAGGGGTCTGCATGCCCTGGGCTCCGGGCGGCTCTCGGCCTCGGCTGGCGAAGACAAAACGCACTGCCGGACTGGCAGGGGCGGCTTGCTGTGTAGCCCTTTACAGTTGGGAAAAGCCCATTGTCTTCCGGAAAGCTGAGCCTCTTCTGTCTTCGCCTAAAGAGGCGAGGAGGGGAGAGAGGGAAGGGGAGGCGGGAAGACAGGAAAAGCAGGAAAAGTGAGAACTAAGAGGGTGAGAGAAGGGGAAAGTCCTCCTGACTGTTCTCCGCCGGAGATGTGATGCGGTTCCGCGGCTAGGAGCAGGGAAGGAAGCCCTCCCTGAAGTCAGTGGAATTATTCTGTAATTGGAAGGAAAAACACCTTTCTGATAAAATGGGATGTTTATGGCTTGGGTAGAGGGAGGATGGGGCGAATCTGCTGACTTAGATTCCTCCTGGGTATATTTTCATTTGCATCAAGACATTAAACTTGGATTAGTTTTTAACTGAAATAGCATTAGTGTTCCCCAAACCCAATAAAACCCCGGGTGGATCCACAGGTATATCTCGTGTGGTAGGTTCAATGTGGACTCATAGGGAGGAACATAGCTTAAGAGAAAACGATGGTGTGAGGTTTGTGGAAAAGCAAAATACCAGAATTTTCCAAAGAATCCCGCCTCCATCCCCAAAAATGGAAAAGAGGGGGAAACCTCCTGCGCTGGGGAGTTTATTCAGTTTATGTCTGAAGTGGCTCTGGACCGAGTGTCCTGGGGAGCGCACGGCCCATCATCCCCGCCAGCACGGTGCCCTCTGCCTGTCTTTCTTCTGCCGCGAGTCGGGGAAAGGGGCTATGCCCAGGAGCCGCTTAGAAAAAGCCGGCGACTCGCTCGCTGTATAACCAGAGCTGAGCTAACTAAGCTTCGCCCATTTTGCCTGGAGAGGAGAGAGCTGGAGTCTCCATGGCGACCCAGGTGGGAGGGGAAACAGCAGCTCCAGTTACAGCGACAAAAAAATAGTGGACAAAACTTTCCTGGCTCTAGGCAAAGCAGTAATTCAGCTGCCTGCCTTTTGGAGGGTCCCGGGGTACCAGCTGTCCCCACCTCTCCGTTGGCGACCCGCATGAAGGAGTCTAACCTGGCCGGGGTGCCCTGAGCCCTGGCTGAAGTTTCCCTGGGGCCGCCGAGGTAGCTCCGGGTTCAGCACCATGGCCAGCGCGAGGCGCCTGTCCGCCTCCGGGGGGTCTGCAATCCCAGCGCACAAAACTGAGGATTCCCGGGAGGCAAGAGTGTTGGCGGGGTGGGAGTCGAGGTGCTCCTCACTTTCTGGAACCCCAGGATCCCTTGTCCATGTTGAATCTGGGTATCAGATTATCCGCGGACTTATGTGCCGCTCCAGAGCTTGCCAATTAGTATTTCATGTATGGTGGCGCATTAGAGTAACTATCAAAACCATGGAAAAGCAGCACACACGCGCGCTCACACTCAGGATCAGCGCCCCCCCCCCCAACCCCGACCAGGGTGGTCCTCCTCTCTTTGATTTCCCATTAGACATAAATGTAGCAAGGTGCTGTGGCAGGCTGTTCAGTGAGGCACCAGGCACCCAAGTCCTGACTCAGGGGCCTCTGATCCAAGTGGTCAGAGAAGAATGACTGTCAGTCCAGACTTGGCAGCTTCTCAGCAGAGTTGGTGAGCTTGGGAGAGAGGGCAGGGTGTGTAAAGCAATCAGAGCCTGGGATCATCGGATCTTCACGCTAGCGCAGGAGCCAGGTAGCTGCATTTCCAAGAGACGCTGTGCGCGGAAGGGAAGGGGAAGACTTGGTTCATTGGGGAAGAACAGGTAGGTCCACTGAGCCCTCTTGCTTTCACCTTCGCAGAAGTTGGGCTGGATCCTCATCTTTTCTCCATCTTTGAAAGTAGGTTCCACTGATCTTGATGGAGAACCAAGGATGGTAGCAACCACTTTTAGAGTAGAAAACATTTCAGTGTGGTACCCAGGCGTTACAGAAGGCAGCTTAACTGCAGTCAAGGTTTGGCAACTGTTAGGAAACACTCATAAAGCTTGCACAGTGTCTCTGGCTGCTTCTTTCTTTCGAGAAGGTATTTGTGCATGAGATATGGGGTTGATTCTGGATTGTTATTGATAAGAATAAACAAAATATCCTAGTTTTCTTTGCCGTGTTTTTCAAGAGTGGGCAAGTGTTCTTGGTTTTTATTTCTAAAGATAGTATTGTAGAATACTGACAGTATGGCTAAAGCAGTGTGTTTATGCTCTTCAGTATCTTTTTAAATGATCAGTAGCTAGGGGAAGCATATCAGGTTATCTCAAACCTGGGGGAAAGGATGAGATAAAAGCCAAAGCAATACTATTGCTTGAACTTTGTTCTCTGATGAGTGCTGAGAAGTTCATACATGATTTAATCTGCCAAAGAGTTGTTATCTAAACTAGAAGAAGTGATGCATGCAGTACTGCTGGGACTTGAACAAGCAGTTGTACCTTGGCTTGGCTCCATCTGACATTATCAGCAGAAAGGAAGTCAAGAGAAAGCCACACAAGAATAGAAGCTGTTAGATAAGTAAAACAACGCATAGGTGAATTCTAAAGTTGAGTGTCTATCATGAAATTTAAAAGAGAGAGGGATGTAAATAAACTAAGTATAAGAAATTGTTCAGTCTCTCTGGTATGTTCCATGTTTGTTTAAGCAAATTAAGAAAATTGGTCAACCAATAATGTTCAGTTCTGGAGATTCCATGCTCCTGAATTCACTGCTAAGTTCCCAAACTATGACTTGCTTTCTTCCTGGGTGTCTAATTAGCAAATGAAGTGTTATCATATCTCTGTGCAATCAATAGCACACTGTAAAATAATCGATGTTATACATTTCAAATAGATATGTTAAGGAGATCAACTTAGTAAAAAGCACCTCTGTGTACTTGCTTCCTCTGTGCAATGTTTAAAAAATTATTTTGATACCTCACCTTGGTATTTCTGCAATAACAGTGTTTGTTGTGACTCAAGTCTTTATTTAATATATAGGACAATATAGACCAACTCCTTCACAATAGTAAAATATTTTAGCTCACTCCCATAATTCTCTTTATCCTCTGACAAAGCTTCTCTACTTTACATAATTTTTTAAAAATATGAAAAATGGCCACATAACTGGCAAAGGAAAAATTCTCTGGAGATTAAAAATAAATCAATATACCTTTAAGAAATCTTATGCCTATTCAGTGATTTTCACAGGCAGAAAATGTTTCTGCCATCAGGGGTTCGATATTGCTGTGAACCTTCAGGGAAACAAACTGGGCTCTCTTTACTGCAAGTAGGCAGGTGAAGTAGAGTGCTTTTTTTTTTTTTTTTTTTTTGCTAACACTTTATTAATCAAATTATAAGTAAATAATGTGCAGATTTGGAAAAAAATAAGTCAGAGACAATAAGGAAAAAGAAGGAAGTTTGGGGAGAAGGCAGTTCAGTTACTTTTTATCATCTCTGATAATGCTTTTCAGACTACATTTTAAAAACTCATCCTATTAAAACTTCAAGCTTGATAGAATTGGGATGCTTGAATTTAATGAATTTGGATTTATAGCTTATTGAAATGACATCAATTGTTTCTTTGTAATAATTGCCACTTAAGTACCAAAAAGAATTGATTCACTCCAGAGTTTTATGAGATTATTAAATTTGTTAAGAGCAATAAAAACAGAATTGGTAGTTAAACTGAAAAATTATCAAAACACTTTTGTTGAATTAGGGGCTTCTTTTTAGTTGCAATTAAAGTGTTTGGAGATAATAGAAAAAATAGCATGCAATCACTTGGGATAAGAATCTATTTTAAGTAATTATGAATGATTATTTCTAGAAATAATTAAGACCCAATCCAGAGAAGAGAGCATCATAATTGCAGCTAATACTCTAATGGTATTCTAAGTTTCCTCTGACTATCCTATAGAATATATATATACTTGACATCATGTTAGTAGCATTAATTAATAACAAAACTATTTGCTTCAAAGAAAGGACAGTGTCATCTTTTAAAAATAACATTGTCTCCGTGCTGTAGCTTTGATGTAGCAATATCTCTAATCAGTAATGTTTGTTCATTTGTTTATAACGAGTTGGATAGTTACTTAAACAAAACCTCAGGGACTGATTTGGAGCATCTGAATTTCCAGTGGCCAAAGTCTCAAATGGTCACTGAAATCTCTCTTTGGTCTAGAATGTAAAGACCATCAGGCTGTTTTCCTAGTTGCATTATGAGAGTTATCCTAAATTTTAAACAAATAGGTATTTAATTCATGTCTCGATAGATGTACCCAAGTCACATGAAGCTCCTTCGCCCCTTCTGTTTCATGTTTCATATGTCTCTGTGACTTGGCTTAGAACTAAGTGGTTCTAACTAAGTGGTTAGAACCAAGTGGGTTACTGGGTAGATTTGTGCTAATGTGTACAACTTGTCTATTTCCCAGCCCAAGATGTAACTTCCAGTTTGAAATCTTTGGGGTTTTTTTTGGTTTTTTTTTTTTTTTTTTTTTTTGGTCTTTTTCGTTTTTATTGGTACCAGGGATCGAACTCATGACTGCCTGCTTGCAAGGCAGGCACTTACACCACTGAGCTAAACCCCCAGCCCCCCAGTTTGAAATCTTAAAGAAAGGAACTGGCGAGTACATCTGACCTTGCTGACAATGGTGACATGAGACAATCTGAATGTATTGTGTGCAGTATGAAAAATAAATCCACATGTGAAGTTTAAGTCTTGCTGGTGGA